GGCCCCGAGGCCTGACGGTGTCTTGCCACCTCACTGAGTTGCAGCTGCCTCCTGGAGCCCTGGAGCCACCTGCACTGCTCTCCCTCCAGAATCCCCTTCACGGCTTCCAGGTTTCCTGCAACCCAACCCCCATTCCTCCACTCCAAGGATCCCAGCCTGGAGCACAGCCAGAACATGCCAGGGGCCTCCAGCTTCTCCTCCATCTGTCCCTCTGCTGCTTCTCACTGAGTCTCCTAACCTGAAGGCTGAGGCCAGCCAGGAACTTCCCTCCATCGCCCTCTTCCTCCCCTTTTGCCTGCCTCTTCCCAAGTTCATGGCATGGTTGCAGTGAATTTGACTTACAGGGAAGGAAGGGGAAGGAAAAACACAACTGCCTGCTCCTTTCCAAACACTGTCCGTGGGGTCTGCTCCCCCTGCTGCCTCCCCTCTATGGCTGGCCCTGTTTGGCTGATTCACAATAGCACCACTGACCCCAAGTTCTATCCTACCCAATCTGCACTACCCTGAGAAGGAAATAAGTTTTTAAAATGTCATTAATGTGAGAGAAGCAAGAAGTAGATACCTACGAGTCCATGAGAATTTCCCTCATAAACTTAGATGTTGGGGGAAAATGTGCAATGTTCACGCCCTTCTCCTGCCCTTCTTTTTATGTGCTCAGTTTTCCTTCTATGAGCATGTTCTCCTCTACGTTCTGTGACACACGCAGTCACTGTCCCCTCCTCTGCCCATGAGACCCTCGGGTGTTTTTCTTGCCCACAGAATTAGCAAAATTACTCCCAGGCTACCCAGGGTCCATAGAACACTAACATCCATGGTGTATTCCCTACAGGAATTACTCTGAGGCCAAATCTAATGCAAATAGAAGTCTTTAAGTTGTTATGTTTTACAAGAATTTTAAAAGTAACAAAACCCTATACCCCTTCAGAGATTAAACCAAAGATTTTCAAAGCGCTGATCAGATATAAAGCAAAAATCAAGACATTAAATTTATAAAATGTATTAAGTTAATAATACAACCCAGGAAGGAATCGGTTAGGTGGTATTCGAATTCTTTAAGCTGTTTTAAAAATACAAACCTCCAAGGCACCTGTGAATTTGCGCGCGTGTGTGTGTGTGTGTGTGTGTGTGAGCGCCAGTGTGTTTAGCTTGGTAATCTGGGTTTGGTTGCTGGGAGACAGCGGCTCGTATGTTTCTCCCTCTCCCATTCATTAAGCTCATGATGGGAGTCTAAACATTCTAGTTGTTTGTTTGTTTTGTTTTGTTTGTTTGTTTCTGAGACAGAGTCTTGCTCTGTCATCAGGCTGGAGTGCAGTGGCGCAATCTCGGCTCACTGAAACCTCCACCTCTCAGGTTCAAGCGATTCTCCTGCCTCAGCCTCCTGAGTAGCTGGGACTACAGGCGTGTGCCACCATGCCCAGCTAATTTGTGTGTGTGTGTGTATTTTTTGTAGAGACAGTGTTTCATCATATTAGCCGTCTCATCATATTAGCCAGATAGTCTCAATCTCCTGACCTCGTGATCCGCCCGCCTTGGCCTCCCAAAGTGCTGAGATTACAGGCGTGAGCCACCATGCTCAGCCCAAGTTGTTTTGAACCTGTTGTTAAGGTCCCAATTCACTGCATGAAAGGCACAGTCTTCAACAGAACTGGAAGGAGAGACATGGGCCATGCCTGAGCATTAAGGCTGAGAAGCTGCCCTGAGCCCCAGGAGTGGAAACTGGAGTGCCCAATCTGTTTTGCTTCTGGACCAAGTAACTACTAAAACTTGGCCTAACCAATGTCAATCCCTGCACCTTTCATTCAAGGGACAGGAGCAGTGCAGGGATGCTCCCTCCGTCACGCTCCGCTGTGAGCCAGGGAAGCCTGAGAAAACACAGAGACATGGCGCGGAGGGAACGCGCCTGCTCCCGCCCTGCCAGGGCTGCTGGGGCCAGTTCCAGGCACCATGACTTCCACCTGCCTGCCTTCCACAAAGCACTGCTGAGGGAGATGAGTTTTCCTCCAATGGGAGAAAAACCATAGAACTTATTCACTGTCACCCAAAAGTCAGCAGGATGGAGATAAGACCTCGATGAGTTTCTGAATTACTGCTCGACCCACTTAACTAGCACAACTGAAAAAGTATCTTAAAGGGCCACTCTGTGCTCTGTCTTCACTTAGCACATTTCACCTCTTTGGATTAAGGATTTCTGGACAGATTATAAATCAGAAGCACTAGCAATATTTGTGATGCCAAAACTGACCACTAACTTCAAGCAAATTATCATGAAGTTTTGGAGGGGCGGGAGTGGAAGTTTTATGTGACGTCTCTTCCCTCTGAAGCATGCTTCAGTATCCCATGCATACATACATGAGATACATAAGCCAAGGCTGGTCACCACAGTGCTGTTGTCTCCCTGCACAACACTGGCAGGAAAACACAGTGATGAGGGAACAGTCAAGAGGACAACAGGACTCGCTGGCCAGCCCCTCCCCTAAAACCATCTATGAACCAACAATCCACCCTTCCCAAGCTCTCCATTCTGTTCCTCTCGTCTGTGTATCTATTTGGGAGCCGGTGCCACTGTGCCCAACTATTACTAACGAATCTTTTTAAACATTTTTTTTAAGAGACAGGGTCTCACTCTGTCGCCCAGGCTGGAGTACAGTGCTTCAATCATGGCTCACTGCAGCCTCCAACTCCCGAACTCAAGCAATCCTCCCACCTCAGCTTCCTGATTAGCTAAGATAACAGGCAAGTGCCACCATGCTCAGCTAATTTTTTTTTTTTTTTTTTTGTAGAGATGGGGGTCTCACCATGTTGCCCAGGCTGGTCTCAAACTCTTGGGCTCAAGTGATCCTCTCGCTTCAGCCTCCCAAAGCGCTAGGATTACAGGCGTGAGCCACCACACCTGGCCTAATATATCTCACTTCCTGGTATTGTGGATCCTAAAAGCCGTTTCATAGGTACACTTCTGACTCTTGCTCTCTTTCAGAAGAGAAAGAGAAGGCTGAAGACTACCTTCTGGATGTTCTTCTCTCACAATTTGGTGTCTCCTGGGTGAATCCTGTCTCCTAACTTGGTTTTAACCACAGTCCGTGAGCTGAAGGCTCCAAATGTATGTCTGAGACCTGGCTCCCCAGCTCTAAAGCCATAGACTCGGCAGACCACTGGCATCACCAGTGGCTGCCAACAGGCACCTTAAACACAACACACCCAAAATAGGTGCCATCAGCAACCCCCGTCTTCCTCCCTCATCCTTCTGGATGTCTCCTCTTCCAATCTAATCAATCTCCAAGTTGAAATGATTCTATTTTGTTTACATCATTCAATCCCACTCTTTCCCCTCTGCTCCTAGTACAATTTCTTCCCTGGACTTGTGCAATCACTTCCTAATAGGCCTATCTGCTTCCAGCCTCACTCCCCAAAGCTGCTAGAGTGCTCTTTATAAACTCTGTGTTTGATGATGTCACTTGTATACTGAAAACCTTTCAGAGGTCCCTCCCACCCCAGGATAAAATCCAAATTCCTCAGGGTTGCATACCAGACCCTATCCAATCCAGACCCCCTATTTCTCTAACTTCAGATATACTCCCTGCCCTCCCACTCCACTTGGCACTGAACACTCCCACCATTCTGCAATTCCTCCATTCCCAAACTCTCCTATCCTTGCCCCCCAACCCCCAGACAGCATTTGCACTGCTCTTCTCTTGGCTCAGGCAGCCCTCCCCTGCCCTTGCCCCTCATCTCCCTCCCCACTGCCACTTGTCCTTCCAGGTCCTGTCCCAGGCCTCTGAGGGGCCTCCCCTGACCTCCCATCTCCACCCCACACCGGTTCACACTCCTGCCACATGCACCGTGCTGCAGTGTAACTGTTCCTATGCTTCTCCCAGAGCCTGTGACCTCCCTATGACAGGTCCTGGGTCCCTCAAATCTGTGCCCAGTATTTGGTCCAGTGCCTGGCAAAATAAACAGTTTCCCTGGGGGAAGAAACTAGGCACAGTGCCATCAGATGGCTGCATCACATTTTCAAGGCCTCTGATGTTCAGGCAGGGAGGTGGACTCTGTGCTACAGTGAGCCACAGTGATAAGAATAAAGTGCCATTTTCGGAAAAGTAAACCGGCAGTACCACACAGGCACTGTGAAGGATTTTGGAACACAGGGCAGGTGGTGATGAGAGGAGGCCACTGAGATGGCAGTGCCCTTTGCTGGGGCGGCTAAGAGCAGGAAGGCAGATGCGGGAGCACAGGTGGACTCTGTGCATCTGTGTCTGGATTCTGCATCCACAAGGGCTCTGCACAGGCAATCACAGCAGCAGCTGTGGACTGGCACAGGCATCCAGGGAAGGTGGCACAAACAGGTTCCACCCCCAGGTGGGCACCCCAGGCCTGTGAGTATGCCACCCTCCTGCATCTCAATGAATAAAATACAATCTTATTTGCTAACTGATATGGTTTGGCTGTCCCCACCCAAATCTCATCTGGAATTGTAGCTCCCATAATTCCCATGTGGAAACACACACGTGGAAATTATGGGAGCTACAATTCAAGATGAGGGACCTGGTGGGCGGTAACTGAATCATGGGGGCAGTTTCCCCCATACTATTCTCTTGGTAGTGAACGAGTCTCACAAGAGCTGATGGTTTTATAAGGGGAAACCCCTTTCACTTGATTCTTTTTTTTTTTTTTTTTTTTTGAGATGGAGTCTTGCTCTGTCACCATGTAAGAATTGCCTTTTGCCTTCAACCATGATTGTGAAGCCTCCTCAGCTACATGGAACTGTGAATTCATTAAATCTCTTTATCTTTATAAATTAGCCAGTCTCAGGTATGTCTTTATCAGCAGCGTGAAAATGGACTAACACACTAACTTTTGTCTCCATCCTAGAAGGCAGCGGATTTAAGGAAGCTATGGATGAACGCCTGTGAAATGAATGAATTCGACCTCAGCAGCTATTCCCTCTTATTCATTGCTGCTTCCCCAAAATGTGGGAAGACGAAGCCAAGCAGGGATGCTCCTACCTGAATTCTGCCTCCTGAGCTACGGCTCCCGTTCAGAGGACACGTCACCCTCCGCCCCGCTGCTGGCACTGCGGTCTTCTTTTCGGGGAGTGTTTCTTTCCTTGCTTGATTCAGAAGGTCCCTTAGCTCTGGTCTTTTCTTTTCTCTGCTGCTGTTTTTCAAGCTTTGACAGCTGATTAAATAAAAATAAAAAAGAATATTTTACAAACATAAACACATGCCTGTGAATCCCACACACCAGTGACTTCTCAGGTGGGAACCATTGAAAAGGGTTTTTCTGACAACCTGGCAGAACACACTGGTTCAGATATACCAAATTATACACGGAATGTTTCTCCAACAGGCACCCGAGTCACTGAAACAAATCATTAGTAATAGCAGTAATCACTCTCAGACTTTTCCCCGACCATAGTTCAACCTGGCACACAGTATAAGGGAGTGGCCGTGCCACAGCCTTCTTCAACAGCCTTAGAAGAGCTCCATACATGAAGGCTCTTCATCTCTTACTTTTGTCTTTGATAGTTTTCTTCTCATCAAGTTATCTTCTACTTGTTGTTTTCTTTTTTCTTTTCTTTTTTTTTTTTTTTTGTTAAAACAGGGTCTCACTCTGTTGCCCAGGCTGAAGTACAGTGGTGCAATCATGGTTCACTGCAGACTCAACCTCCTGGGTTCAAGTGATCCTCCCACCTCAACCTCCCAAGTATCTGGGACTACAGTGCATGCCAATTTTTCTGTAGAGATGGGGTTTCACCATGTTGCCCAGGCTGTTCTTGAACTCCTGGGCTCAAGCAATCCACCCATCTCGGCCTCCCAAAATGTTGTGATTACAGGTGTGAGCCACGACACCACACCACTTGTTTTCTAAAGAATGTTCAAAACACGTCAGTCTTTGCTGAAGATTACAGAGAAGGCTATGAAACAAAGTGCATTAAGCACACTGAATACCATCTCAGTTTTCAGTTGGTTTGAGACTGAAGCCACACTCGCCTGCAGCCGAGGCACTGAGTGCTCCCAGCAGGCTGTGTGGTGGCGACACTCAGGGACGCTGGCCACCGGAGCCTTCTCAGGCTCCCACCAGGCCAGCAGGGGACACGCCCCTGATGTCTCACTCAAATGGAACCTGGGCCCACTTCTTCCCTGAATAGTTCTTCAAAGAAAACATCAGCTGGATGGCTGAAAGAAGCTTCCATCATCTAACACTGAGCAGCAGCCTGGCCACTCCAGGAAAGCCTGCTGAGAAACCCAGCAGAGAAGACTGGCCAAGTTTTGAGCCACGGGATTTTCTTAGACCAAAAAACAAAGAGACAGCAATACCCAGTTTTATCTCCCTCCCAGACCAAGTCTGTGAACTTTTTCTAGTTTACATAAAAAGAAGGAAACTTATTGAAGGGCTGACTTCTCCCTGCTGGTCCCTGCCCCACATCCAAGACACAAAGACGAGTCACTTCCCCCAATCTGCCAGATCATTTCTTCCACTATGAACAGACTTTGAGTTAACCCTTTGAGACATGAACAACCAACCAGTAGCTCTCAATTGGGTCCAGGAAATCAAATTTATTAATAATTGACTTACAGTAGTGGTCCCCAACCTTTTTGGCACCAGGGACCGGTTTCATAGAACACAATTTTTCCATAAGATGGGGGGACAGAAGAGGAGATGGTTTCAGGATGAAACTGTTCCATCTCAGAGCATCAGGCATTAGTGAGATTCTCATAAAAAGCGTGCAACCTAGATCCCTCACATGCACAGTTCACAATGGGGTTCTCACTCCTTTGAGAATCCAATGCCACTGCTGATCTGACAGGAGGCGGAGCTCAGGCGGTAAGGCTCACTCAGAGGCTGCTCACCTCCTGCTGTGCAGACTGGTTCCTAACAGGCCATGGAAATTAGTACCGGTCCCTGGCCTGGGGGTTCGGGATCCCTGGCTTATTCTTTCCTACTCCCCATATACATGAAAAGCTGTAGAATACAGCTAAGTTTGGTTAATATGCTAATTAGATTTTGTGAATGAGGACATCACTTCACCTTTGACTCAGCAACTATCCTCCCAGAAAACTCCCCTGGATAAATTTCCACTTGTGTGCATAGTGGGGGCTTCTAACAACAAGCACTGTAGTGTCGTTTGTATTTGCAAAAACCTAGAAACAACCCAAATGTTCATCAACATTAGGAGGACAGATACATGTAATGTGGTCTGGCAATACTGTACAGCAGATCTACATATATCAAAATAGCCAAGTCTTGGCCAGGGGCGGTGGCTCATGCCTGTAATAGCAGCACTTTGGGAGGCCAAGGTGGGCGACTGCTTGAGCTCAGGAGTTTGAGACCAGCCTGGGCAACACAGAGAGACCCTGTCTCTACAAAAACAAAACAAACAAAAAAAAGAGTTAGCCAGGTGTGGTGGCATATGCCTGTAGTCCCAGCTACTGCGAGGCTGAGATGGGAGGACTGCTTGAGCCCAGGGGGTTGAGGCAGCAGTAAGCTGTGATCGCGCCACTGCACTCCAACCTGGGTGACAGAGGAAGACTGTCTCAAAAAAAAAATTTTTTTAATTAAAAAAAAAATAGGGAAATCTTGAAAATCATGTTATACAAAACAAATTTAGCTTCAGAAGGCTATATACAGTAGGATTCCACTGACACAAAATAATACTCTATATTGCTAGTGAGCTCATGCAAATACACTATGGCCTAGAAGAATACACGCCAACTTTAACACACTAGTAAACATGGAGGGGAAAGAGGAGAATGGGATCTTAGTGGAATGAATATATACAGGCTTCAACTGTAACTGTCAACTTTATAAGAACAAAACCAGATCTAGAGCAGAGTTACTAATTAGTGCAGTCCACAAAATGCATGTGACACCTGGACCAGCAACAGTAAGATGTTCGTGTCAGAATGTAAATCAACACACAGCTTCCTTCATCAGCAAAGTATTGTGAGAGATTTCTTCTCAACTATGAGCTCCGTGGTGTAGCTGACTTCATTCTGGCACAAAATGAAGGTTGCAGTGAGCCGAGATCACGCCACGGCACTCCAGCCTGGGTGACAGCGAGTGTGCATACACATGTACACATGTATATAATTATACTCAAGAACAGGTCCAAGTTAGATACTGAGAAAGTACAATTCTAGTTTTAAAAAGTAAGATGCCCTCTCAGTTTTGTTCTTTGTTTCACCATGGCCTGGTAACAAACAGTTCATGCAGCAGCACTTTAAGTAGGAATGAATGATCTGGAGAAAAGATGACAAAAAGCTAGCATTTTTAAAATCTGGGAAATGGCCACACAGAGCTGCTTATTATCTAGTTCTCTGTAGTATTATTTTTCCATGGACAAATATTTTTCTCTTTACTATTCTGCCACAGGTTAGGAGGAATTTCCTGCATCTAAAATAACAGACTTCTTTCCTTTTGTCTCTCTTCTGTTGTTAAAATGCTCTTTCTTTGATGAAATGATAAGGACAGTATGCAGGACTCCTTCTGTCTCATTCCCTTTCTTGCAAACTGATTTTGGATTTTGCAATGTGGATATATACCTATTACTACTAAGCTGTATACTTAAAATGGTTAAGATGGTAAGTTTTATGTGTATTTTACTATAATTTTAAAAATTAAGCAATTTTGGAAATCATGAAGTCAGCAATCCATGCTAGACTCCCCAATTTCTTTTTGTTTTCTATATTCCTGATTCATAAAATCCAAATATCTGGGAATCGGTGTTCTGCAGTAACTTGTGGTAAGCTGCCTTCTGCTGCCAGCAATTGACATTTTATATTCGCATCCATGTGTTCATACTTGCATGTCATACGTGTGTGTAGATGCATACACTGATACACACATATATAAATACTCACGAACAAGTCCAAGTTAGATGCTGAGAAAGCATAATTTTTAAAAAGCAAGATGCCCTCTCAGTTTTGTTTCTCATCTTCAGAGATAAAAAAGAAAAAAAAAAAAACGTAAAATGTGAATATCAACAGTCACAAAACTAAATAAACCTCCCTCCTGCTAAGATGTAATCTCGTGCAAGGGCCTTTTTGTGAGCCAGCCTGTTCTTCACTTTGTACTCTTTTATGTTATTGAGAACGAGATCCGGAGAGGATGATGGGGACTAACCCCAATTAGCACAGCCTTCTGGAGGTTTCTCAGCTCCTCGTGGTGTCATTCGATGCTGTGCTGAGGCAGAGGCACAGACACCACAGATGCAGAAACGTCCATCTGACCTTCCCCTCCAACCCCGCCCCCTCCCGCCGACTGCCAGCTTTTAAATCACATGTGATAACTATTTAAATGACAGGCACAGCCCACATTTCTGCCAGCGATGTAATGCTGACTCTCTTACAGTATTTATCTTAAAACAACCCAACCACATATGGCTCCATGCCACAAATTCAAGTTCTCTGTGAGAACATTGTGAACTAACCTAATAAATTTAAGCCTTTTCTGGAAAAACTTGGAATCCAATGCAGCCAAAATGTGGAATTTACATCTCAAGGCAAGAAAGCAGCTGGATTTTTTTTTTTTAAGGAAACAGATGAGAAAAAAGAAGAAGAAAAGAAACTGGTACTGCATATGGGTTTCAAGCAAAATGTCAACAGCTTTCAAATTAAGAGGAGATACATGTCAAGGAGAATATAAACCACTACAGGTCTGTGAACATACGATCTACAAACACTGAAATAGAGTACTTCTGGGTTTTTGTTTGTTTGCTTGTTTTCAATCAACTGGTAAGAAGGCCCACATTGTAAGGGACAGACTGTCCAAACCATGCTGGCTTTATCGCCTTAGAGAGAAACCCAGCCTTCTGAAAGCAGCCCTGGACACACACACACCACCGGGGGCCAGGTGATGGTCCTGTGGTCAGCCTGCACCTCTCACAGTGAAGCTTGGGAACACGGGTGCCAAAAGAGGGGGGATTGGAATATGCAGATCCAGACTCGCCCAACTCATGATTAAATCCACCGAAAACATCAGGGATTTTCCTTTTAATGAAGATGCCCAAGCTCTAATTGCACAATCTAAGAATGAACCAGCTGAACATTAATCTTATAATGCCCGATTTCAGGGCCTGCAAACTTAAATGCCTTGAGAGACCAGCCAGGAAGCAAAATGAGTTAAGTGGCCAAGAGTAAGACAACAGGGCAGAGTGGAGCCTGAGGCCACACTGC